CTGCGTGCTGACATCTCAGAGCAAGGTTGAATTGTACTGTACCATATGTCTACATTAGGTTAAATGTTCTGATTGTACCGGACCATATGTCTACATTAGGTTAAATGTTCTGATTGTACCATAACATATGTCTACATTAGGTTAAATGTTCTGATTGCACCGTACCATATGTCTACTTTAGGTTAAATGTTCTGATTGTACCATATGTCTACATTAGGTTAAATGTTCTGATTTTACCGTACCATATGTCTACATTAGGTTAAATGTTCTGATTGCACCGTACCATATGTCTACTTTAGGTTAAATGTTCTGATTGTACCATATGTCTACATTAGGTTAAATGTTCTGATTGTACCGTACCATATGTCTACATTAGGTTAAATGTTCTGATTGTACCGTACCGCATGTCTACATTAGGTTAAATGTTCTGATTGTACCGTACCATATGTCTACATTAGGTTAAACGTTCTGATTGTACCGTACCGCATGTCTACATTAGGTTAAATAGGCGGGGGTGCAATTTTTAGCCTGTATAATATTTATTCGACGCGTTAAACCTAGAGATGCATATAGAAATTGTAGGCTATTGTAATTAATCTTCGTTAATCCGTCCTGTTCAGTGTTTCTTCAGACTTTTTTTCTCCGTGGGGAGGGGGGGGGGGGCGCTCTTAATATTTTCGGTAAAAGTATATGTTTTCTATATAAATTTCATCTAGTTCGGGGGGGGGGGGGGGTGAGGGGTGGGGGTTAGATGGTTATGTCATCATAAGTAAAGCAAGAGAGGTGGTTAGCGATCTTCTGCCAGAAGAAACCCAAAGTCGTACATGATACGAGACAAAAAACGTGAAGTTGCATTTTTGCATTTTTAAGAATTAATCCTTCAAAATATTTTTTTAATTAAAACTTTCAATTAACAAAATGGTGACCTGGTTAGTTAATATTTTAGAAACCGCTTCTTCGACAAAAAAAAAAAAAAAAAAAATGCAAAAACTGAAATTAAGGGGGGAGCGGGGTGAAGTGTGACTTTAATTTATTGTGACCTAGAGGGGGGGGGGGGGGGGGGTAATTTTCTACAAAGCTTTAAGTCTTTTAATAGAAGACCACAAAAGATAGAAGCCCTCAATTTCAATTCTTTTCGGATGCAGCCATTCTATTATAAGCAACGTTTTCAGTTTAAACACGAAACTCCATCGAGGAGAGGTCTGATTGTTTATTTTCATGCCAAGTCGGGCTGAAATAAGACGTCATCATGTAGTTATGGACGCACTTAGGCTATCTAGTCCCGATAGCGCAGTTTCCTGTTCTTAAAGCACTTTCGTTTCCAAAGTCCACTCATCGACTTCTGAGATGCGTGTAGTGTATTTGTTCTCAATAAAACAAAATCTTGACTTGAATGAGAGTGGAATGCCTTAGTTGCACTTTTAATAGTAAGGAAAACAAACGAATCAAACACATTTAATTTGTTATTAATTTATTTATATGTTCCATCAAATAAAACGGAGTAAAATGAAGGTCTATTTGGCAGATGAAGTAGAGTTGGTCTAAAAGTCTAGAATAAGAAGGAATTATACCAAATAGCTTTAGTAAGATTTTTAGCTTATGACTGGGTGGACTCATGTTCACGCCAATGTGCAATGTAGATTGATTCAAAAAATTATTTAAGAGCAAAATATTTTTCACTGAGAGTAAATGGCAATGCAAAATAAAATGGAAAATAAATAAGAAAAGACAGACTAGTCCCTGAATTAATTTGTTTTTATTATTGTTAAAGTCCTTCCCTGGCGTGTTTATTTGAACTGAGCCATCGTGATCGTCATAATAAATCAAAGTCCAGCGTGTCCACATCCGGTACATAGTGACTGATCATAAATCTTAGCTCAAAGGGCGGCTAGCTAGCGCGTACAATTAAAAAATAAGGAAATTTGAAAACACGCTCAGTTACTGAAATAGTATTATCCTGGTTTGCTATGATAAGTAAAGTAAGTTTCCCTTTCAAACCTGACGGTCTATGGGGCAAGTGAAGTAGAGTTCACTTGTTTCTGTGACATCGGCATATGAAGATATTGAAGAGGTAGTGTGGTCAGCACTATGCCCAGCCGCCTTTACTTTCCCTAACGTGTGTAAGGTACCCATCAGGACTCAGGGACTGTCTACTGACTTAAACCCGGATTCGAACTCGAGATGTACGGGTTAGCAGTCCAGCTCTCTACCGCTAGACCACTCCGTCACGTTTGCTATGATATTATGTCTTTAAATGGTCATTATGTCTTCATATGCCCTACATTTATCTATAGAAAAAAAACATGGTTGAAATAAATTCTAGCCCAAAAAACACCTTTATAACATTTAATTTGTATGTGTCGATCTAACGAATTTCTAATTCCACTTGTGACCAGAGGCGTAGCGATGGGGGGGGAGGGGGCAGGGGGTTCATATGTCCACGGGCGCCGACCTTAGGGGGGCGCTAAACTGGGTTGTAAAATCAAATTAAAATGTCATTTCAGCAGCACTTTTGCATTATAAATATTTTGAGGGGGGGGGTGCAAATCGAAAGTTTGAGGGGGAGGGGGTGTAAATTGAAGTTTGTCCCCGGGCGCCGGGAAGGGTCGCTACGCTTCTGCTTGTGACCGCGTTCTAAGATGCTGGTTTAGCTTACTTCATTTGCCTTTGTTTAGTTAAAGGCATATTCGGGCATTTTTAGGCGACTGAATATGCGTTTTAATAGATTTCCAAAATACCTTAAAATTAAATAATGTAAATTAAATAAATTAGGGTATAATTATGTAGAGATATTTCATTTCCTGGTTGCCGACATTAAGATTTAATTTAATATGCCCCACTACAAATTTGTTGACTGCTTAAACATGCCCGGCACACTCAACAAATTTACTATCAGAGAACAACCCTCACTTGATGAAGTCCGGTGAAGAAGTCCATTTTCACCCATTTCAGTTTAGCGGTCTAAAAAAAGATAACCTAATCTCCGTTTTTGTTCTTGTAAAACTTAAAGTGCTCTATAAGAATGCAGTTAAAGCGGTTCGGCTTTATAAATAGGGCGGGTCCTACTTTATAACACACAGCAATCCCGTTGTGCTGTTGTCATACTTCGCTGCGCCGCTTTGCAACTTAGACGACACACTGCGCTTAGGTCTAGACAAGTAGACACGAGTTGTAGATCTAGATTTAATTGGGCGCTATATATAATATATATAGACCCATCATAACTAAAAGAATATAAAATAGTCAAGTAGTAGATTATAGTCGTCTGTTTAAAGAAATTCATTTTACGTTTCTAATTGGACTTTTTGTAGGAAGATAATTCTTCCAAATGGAGGTTTATTTCAAACTAGATCTACAATGTTTAGCAGCATTTCTGTGTTTTCTTGGAATTTTGAACTCGGTAAGTTGTAACCCTACTTACTTCGAACTGCACCGCATACAGCTAAATTTAATCTTTAGGTCAAACACCTATAATATAATTTTAGGCCTATAACTATATCTTATATCTAATGTTATCTTTTCTTTTTTTTTTCCTTTTGGTTCTATACTTATTTATTACACTATATAAATTGAATTGATCCATTTTCTTAAAATCATTACAACTGTGTTCTGTGGTTACAATGTCCCTTAGCTTTTTTAATTTATATTTTTGTTGTTGTTGCTACCTAGCACAACCCACTGACTTAAACCGCGAGGGGGGCTACAAAAAAAATGAGCCCTACTACTATAGGGGTACATCCATAAATGACGTCACGCTTTTTTGAAGATTTTTACCTCCCCACCTCCCCTCCGTAAAACATCGTCACTAAAAGCCAGACCCTCCCCCCCCCCCCAGAATGACGTCACACCTCAGCCTACAACCCCCCCCCCCCTCTCAAAATTACTATTGTACTTTTCTTAAAACATCTATTTTTTTCTAAAATCTTGTCAGAACTATATCAACTTAGAGTAATTTGATCAATTCCAATTACAATTTATTAAAACCGTTTTCTAAAACGCGAAATAACGGATAAAACTCGTTTTCTAACATTGTTTATTTATAATGCAAAAGTGTGACGTCACACCATCTGAAACCCCCCCCCCCCCTCATCACACATCGTCACAAAATTACGGATCCCCCTCCCTACAAGTGTGACGTTATTTATGGACGAACCCTAGCCTATTGTTTTATCGCCTCTGAGTTAACAAGTTACTAGTTATTCTGTGCTTAAAAACTCAATAACAATAAATAATCGTCTTCTATTGCTTCACTAGATTTGTAAATTGTTTGAAAAAAAAAACCATTCATTATCAGAGCTGTTTATGTTATATTCTTTTGCAAGTTGACAATTTCAGCACATAAAAAATTAATCAACAATGCGCGTAGAAAAATCCTCAAGTTAAATCCCCCCCCCCCCCCTTCACTCTTTGGTAGGCAATAGGTCTACTTTAAACTATACGGTAAATAAGAAGGTAAATAAGACGAATAACAATATGACTACAATAATGTGAGATTGGTCCGCGGTTAGGTAACTTACATGAGTCACTTTACAAAGCGTAAGGCTAAATGAATAGAAATAGGCCCTATACAATACATTATTTAACATTTAGGGAAAGTCCAACTTAAATTTCTTTTAAATTCATAATCCAGATTAAAAAAAAAAATTTTAAGTTGATTATGAGAATCTAGCAATTTAGTTGGAAATAATTTTGTTCGAGTTATAATACAATATTTTAGTTATACGTTTCGGAGACATAGATCTATTTTATTTTTTATCCCTTCCGCAAGCAACGCAGATAGGCCTACCCAGGCAAAATTTTCCCCTTGGCTTGTGTTTGGCAGCATGTGCCCCGCCCACTTATTTCTATTTATAAAGTATCACCCGTTATGCTACTTCCGGGTTAAGGGTTGCAGATAGTAACTATGATTAGGTTGATCACGATAACACCACACTGCTGTTGTCTAATCCCGTCACTTTGTCACTATTTTTATTAGTAACATTATTTTTGCGACTTAGATCTAGATTTTCTACAAGTCTAGATAGTATTGCCAATTCGTTTTTAATTTGGAGTAGGCTAGGTTGTTCAGAGTTCTCTATTGTGTAAAAAAACTTAAAAAATAGGTCGAACGCCGAAAGAAAAGGAAGTGGGATAATAACAAAAAATTACGCTTTAACAGCAACGATAGAAAACATGGAATTCAAAGTCACTTTATTTGCCTTGTGTTTATTAGGAATCTTTGCTTTGGTAAGTAAACATTAAACGTAGTCCTAAGCCAACTGTAAATAAAACGATTGTACACCTGAAAATTAAAATTTGTTTTACATTAGGCCTAGCCTACATGATTACTTTACTTACTATCTACTAGTATGTAGTATCTAGTAGATCTATAAGTCTATAACTAGATCTATATCTAGATCTAGATTCTCGATCTAGATTCTAGGCCTAGCCTACTACACTACTACCTAGATTTAGATCTAAAATCTAGTAAAAAATACTAAAATACTGTAAATAGTAGATCTAGATCTAGTAAATAACTAAATAAGGAGCACCGGGGACCACATACAAATTTCATTTTACTTTGCCAAGCTAGGTCTAGATCTAGACCTCTAGTACTAGTAGGTCTATGCAGAAATTCCTTTCTCTTCTGACTTCTTACGCTGTCAGTTTTGAGTTTTGTACAAAATGCCGGTGCAGGCATGTAGATTTCTAGTATCTAGATCTAGGTCTAGACTAGATCTAGATCTAGTAAGGGCAAGGGCTAGAATTTCCAATCTAGTTACTCAAGTATTTAAGTTAGTAGAATCTAGATTTTGATCTTACCTCAATAGGCCTACAGGCGAATTATTAAATTAAAATTATATTAGGCCTTTTAGTCCTACCTATCAATAGGTTATCAAATATCAACTATTCTACAAATTATTTAAAATTAAAAAAATTCTTTTGGGTTATAAGAATTGCATAGTTTCCTAACCCTTTCATATTTAATTATCTGGTGGTATTTTTAAAATACCATTAACATGTATGGCATAAAAAACATGTAGTGTGTCCTTATTTTCTGAAAGTTTTTTAAAAAAATAGGTTTAGGTAAAACTCAAGTTTCTACAGTTCCCCTATAAATACAGCAGAAAGCCTTATAAAACAAGTTTCTTGTTTTTACATACTTTTTATGCCAAGTGTGTTTTATATGTTTGATATACAAATATTTTTCAGTGTCAAGCAGATTGCATTTGGTACGGACAGTGTGGCGACAATCCAAAAGTTCCCGGGGATAAAAAGATTAACTGCCCCTATTCAGGCCCACCAAAACCATTTGCCACACAAGAGGGGAGAGACCTCTTTGCTACCAACTGTCCTGGGCTTTATACAGGTTGGTATACAAACTTGTTCAATACACTTATTTGTTATACATACTTGTTCAATACACTTATTTGTTATACAAACTTGTTCAACACTTATTTCTCATACAAACTTGTTCAACACTTATTTGTTATACAGACTTGTTCAACACACTTATTTGTTATACAAACTTGTTCAACACTTATTTCTTATACAAACTTGTTCAACACACTTATTTGTTATACAAACTTGTTCAACACTTATTTGTTATACAACTTGTTCAACACACTTATTTGTTATACAGACTTGTTCAACACATTTATTATACAAACTTGTTCAACACACTTATTTGTTATACAAACTTGTTCAACACTTATTTCTTATAGAAACTTGTTCAACACACTTATTTGTTATACAAACTTGTTCAACACTTATTTGTTATACAACTTGTTCAACACACTTATTTGTTACACAACTTGTTCCACCCACTTATTTGTTATACAAACTTGTTAACACACATATTTATTATACAAGCACTAAAGGTTTAACCAAAACTAAAGTGTAGCTGTTAGCAAGTGGTTGTTTATAATTGGATGTTAGTGTGATCAGAATAAGAACGTAACTCTATGCCATAAAAAAATTGCTCACGATTTAACCCAATAGGTCCTACTGCCAGATTTATTTTTGTTGCCTTTTAACACTAAATCAACAAAACTAACTGCTGCAAATATTTTTGTCCCCTTTATTTTTAACTAGAACCACTTAAAAATATCATCACTACTGACGCACATTCAAACAGCTGTAACTAAAACATTGCAATAGGTGTAAAATCTAATCCTAATTTTTTTGTGAAAATGCACTCTTTAGCTTTAAAGTATAAAATTTTTACTATAGACACTTTGACTAGGGTCAAGGGGACATGTGTTTTTTTCTTACCCTAAAGACTTTGAGATTTTAAAACAATATAAATTTAAAAATAAACTACTGTGGCCTTCACTCAACACTTAACATTAATTAGCTTCTTGACCTACTTTGAAGCAATCAGCTGATAGGGAAGAGAAAGTCCAACTCTTTGTGGATAATTTAATGCCTTATCAAAGCTGTTTTTTATTCCCACTGTAGTACATCTTTAGATTGTGGGGAAATAATTGTAGCTAATTTTCAGTTTGTGGGGAATTTGTTTTGCTGAAATGCATCTTTTATTTGTACTCTAAGATGGGTTATTGACTGCAGTACTTCTTTTACTGGTATTTTAAGATTAGTGGTTTACTGTAGTACATCTTTTACTTGTATTTTAAGATGGGCGGTTTACTGTAATACATCTTTTAATTGTGGATTTAGATGAGCAGTTCAAATAGAAGGTGTTAACAAAGAACTTGGGGGGTGATTTTAACCCTTGAGATTCTGAATAGAATATAGCTGACCAACTATACACAATAGATAGACTATTTAAGCAGTATATTAGGGGTATTGTTGGAGCACTGAGATCAGGTATATAGTGTAGCTGGTGAAAAAAAATTGTCTTCAAGGCCTGTGTGTATGATTACAGGGCCTGGTGTGGAGACTTGTTGTTCTGATGCTTAAATAAAAACTTTTGATTACAGGGCCTGGTGTGGAGACTTGTTGTTCTGATGCCCAAATAAAAACTTTGAGTGACCAAGTGGCATTTCCTCGTCAGGCTTTACAGCGATGTCCAAGCTGTTTCTACAACTTCATGAACCTGTGGTGCTATCTCACCTGTGGGCCAAAGCAGGTAGACAAATAAAATTTTACCTTACTAAATTCTTAAGCAGAGATAAAATGAATAGTATGATAATTTTGTCATTTTTTTTATGCTAGGCTGAGTTTATGTCTGTGAATACCACAGTAGACCAAAGCATAAATGGGACGACAGAAAAAGCCATACTGTCTGTTGAATATGTTGTATCTACTAGCTCTGCACAAGGAATGTTCAACTCCTGCTTGAACGTACAGGCAAGTCTTTTTACAAATTCTTGTTACTTTTTAAAACTGTCCGTATTTGCTATATAAATTTTAATTTTCACTTTTTATTAACTAGATTACAATTCTTTCTTTAATGTGAAGTATTTAATTTTTTAAAGCTTGATTTTAAAATACTAACAAAATGTTTTTCTTACAAAGATGCCAAGCTCAAATCAACCAGCACTATCTCTCCTTTGTGGTGAAGATGCTGACACATGCACCCCCAAGAAGTGGTTAGACTACATGGGGACCACAGAAAATGGACAAGCCCCTTTTGATATTCATTTCCACATCAGTGATAAAAATTTAACATTCAATGGTATGATTTTTAAATTTAAAGTATTCCTACTGAATAAATGTAAAAAAAAAGTTTTTGTTTTCGTAAGTCCCTAGTAATGGTACATCATACCCCTAGCATTTTTATAAATAATTTGAACTGGGTCATCTGAAGTTAAACGCCTGTTAAATCTTCTTTTGTAAGACAAACAACAATAGAGAAGGAAAAAACAATTTAAAAAAATGAATTTAAAAATTTAAAAATTCAACTTAAAATAAAAACTTTTTTCTATGTGACTGTTTTATTTTATAAATACAGTACCAATCTATGTCTTTGCCATTCTAAATAATTATCAATATATAATTTAAAAAATTATATTTTTCTTATTGTTCTCTTGTTTTATAGGAACAGTTCTGATGCCCTTGAATATGGACCCCTTCCCTTGCGACAAAGCCCCATCAAACACAACAGAGCCTTGCAGCTGTCAGGACTGTCAGGCATCCTGTGCCCCCACCCCAAAGCCCAAGCCCCCAGAGCCCCCCTGTGAGATCCTCCACATAGACTGCTTCTACTTCTCCTTTGGCGTCGTGTTCATCGTCTTTGTCCTGGTGTTTGGCTGCTACTCCATCTGCTACAACATCATGGTCCAGGATTCCCTGCGGCTGGAAGAGCCAGGTGAACAGACAAGCTCCGGCTGTTGCGTCAAGGGCACAGGTGAGTTTTTACACTTAATTAGATGAGCATCTTCATATGGCAAGTGAAACAGAGTTCACCTGTTACTGTAAAGGGATAGTGTGGTCATCACTATGCTCAGCCGCCTTTACTTTCGTTAACGCGAGTTAGGTACTCATCAGAGCTGGGTGGATTCTGGGACATTCTACACAGATTCGAACTCGAGACTTTTAGGTTAGCATTCCAGCTCTGTACCACAAAGTCATGCTTTTCCCATATATTTATTGATTATACTGGGTATTTATTTAAAGTTGAACTTCTTAATTAATTATTTCCCCCTTTATTTCACGTCTAACACAACCTCAGTTGTACCACAACACACATTTTACAATGAATTACATCATTAGCTTTATGTGAAACATATTTTACAGTATAATTAAGCTGTGGTTATGTCACTTTGTTTTCCTAAAGATTTCATGTTTTTACTGGGTTTTAATAAACATTTCCACCAATAGCTTTATGTGACACTAAGTTTTGCTTAAAACTTCAGGATTTGACTGGGCTTTTATTTAACATTTCCAGTCTGCGAGCTTTTTAAAATAACTTTTTACCTTGTCTGGTATAGCCTGGGCTGTGACAAGAAACACACGTAAACAACAGTACCTTGAGAACATAAGCAAAGACCAGCTGGGCTGTTGTGAGAGCATTGGCGCCAAGATGGACGCTTTCCTGGAGAGGAGTTTTTACAAGTGGGGTTTGATGTGCGCAAACCACCCCTATCTTGTCAGCGTAAGTCTACTTTATGTGATACCCCCATCTTATCAGTGTAAGTGTAAGTCTACTTTATGTGATACCCCCATCTTGTCAGTGTAAGTGTAAGTCTACTTTATGTGATACCCCCATCTTGTCAGTGTACGTCAATGTTATGTGGTGGGCATATCTTGTCAGTGTACGTCAATGTTATGTGGTGGGTATATCTTGTCAGTGTACGTCAATGTTATGTGGTGGGCATATCTTGTCAGTGTAAGTCTACTGTATGTGATACTCTTGTGATTAAAATATTCTACATGTTATATACAAATTTTATTATTAAAATACTCCATGTATTATTTTATCCCTTATTTTTTTTTTATTGCTAGAAAAGTGCAGGAATAAATGTTTATAAGATTCATTTGTTTTTAAATGTGTAATGCAGGTTAGTTTTTTATATTATTATTATTATTTTTTGCTAAATTAACGAACTATCAAAATGATAAGAAACAAATTTTTTTCTCCCTAGGTTATTGTGTTGGCCATCTTTGGAGGTCTGTGTGCAGGCGCGGCCTTCTTTACAGTAACAACAGACCCTGTCAAGTTGTGGTCCGGCCCAGACAGTCGAGCCAGGACAGAGAAAAATTTCTTTGATTCCCACTTTGTGTAAGTTGGATATCAAGAAACTTAACATATTTCAGAAGAATTTCTTTGATTCCCACTTTGTGTAAGTTGGATATCAAGAAACTGAACATATTTCAGAAAAAATTATTTGATTCCCACTTTGTGTAAGTTGGATATCAAGAACGTAACATATTTCAGGAAAAATTATTTGATTCCCACTTTATGTAAGTTGGATATGAAGAAACTTAACATATTTCAGAAAAAAATATTTGATTCCCACTTTGTGTAAGTTGGATATCAAGAAACTTAACATATTTCACAAAAATGTTATTTAATTCCCACTTTGTGTAAGTTGGATATCAAGAAACTTAACATATTTCAGAAAAAATTATTTAATTCCCACTTTATGTAAGTTGGACATTAAGAAATTATTCACATATTTAACAAAAGTATTGAGCAAGAAATAAGTGTCAGCTCTTTTTAGTTTAGATTATGTAAAAAAGTATTTTTTTAAATGTAAACGAAAATTTGCTTTGTTTTTTTTTCCAGCCCATTTTTCAGAACTGAACAACTAATCATAAGCAGACCCAATAACCACACTGTATTTAGCTACAAGAACCAGAACTATACAAATATTTTTGATTTGACTTTCTTGCATGAGGTACGAATTTCATCTTTTAGTTGTTGTATTTCTTAGATTTATTTCTTATTTAAAATTTGTCCAATTAGTTGTTTTTTTTATTGTTAAAACTCATTGTTAAAGCTTTCCTACTTTAAGATCACCCTTTTTTCTATGAGATTCTATTGTATTTTCAAAAGTTTAAGTAATTAAAAATGGTGTCTATCTTCCAAGATATAGAAGAATATTCGAGAAAGTTTAGGGGAGATCACTCCCGGTTTATTTCTATGTGTTTGCTATTTTTTAAATGTTGGAGTGTTTTTCTTTCTTTAAACTCTGATTTGTGAAATGGATCAGAAATCTTTTTCTTCTTGCCTGCAAGTTTATTCCTTGTATAAAATCTGTATGTGTGTATACTTTCAGGTACTGGAGCTCCAGCTGGCTATAGAAAGTTTAGAAGCCGAGTACGAGAACAGGACCCTGACCCTGAGTGACATATGCTTTGCCCCCATGAGCCCAGACAACAACAACTGCACCATCCAGTCCATACTCAACTACTACCAGAACGACCCAGGCATGCTAGACAAGGTCGCCTATGATGATTACGGCTGGTTTGTCGTGGCCACCTACCTGGATCACTTTGAATACTGTGTCCAGTAAGTCTTGTATCTTCCATTATTTAAGTCTTGTATCTTCCATTATTTAAGTGATTATTTAAGTATCTTCCATTATTTAAGTAATTATTTAAGTCTTGAATCTTCCATTATTTAAGTAATTATTATTAATTAGTCTATTATCTTATTCAAATTTGTTTCCAGACATGATTATTCATAGGGCAGATGAAGTAGAGTTAATCTGTTTCTATTTACTTAAATTTTGTGATTGTGGAATTGGCTACGCCTGCCTCTCTTAGAACTAGAACCCATAAACCCTGTGATTAAATAAATCTTCCTTTTATATTAATATCAATTGTGATTGTTTCATATAAAACATCTTTGATTTAGCTCTAGTGCTTGCACCTATTTATGTAAATGTTTTTTGCCTACTTCCTCGTCCTATTCTGTGAATAAGCTTTTATTCATGTGACTTATTTTGTGATTATTCTATTTCATAGGTCCCCCCTATCCTTTAAATTAGCTGTTGTTATTGTGCCTTATATTTCTAATTGTTTTATTCCCTAGGTCACCTATTCTCTAAATTACCTGTTGTTAATGTGCCTTATATTTCTGATTGTTTTATTCCCTAGGTCCCCCTATTCTTTAAATTAGCTGTTATTGATATGCCTTATATTTCTAATTGTTTTATTCCCTAGGTCCCCTATTCTTTAAACTAGCTGTTGTTATTGTGTCTTATATTTCTAATTGTTTTAATCCCTAGGTCCCCCTATTCTTTGAATGACACCACCAGGCTTCACACCCCATGTCTGGCTACTTATGGAGGTCCAGTTTTCCCATGGGTAGCTCTTGGAGGTTTTGAAGGTATATTTTATTATTCAAGTCCTCATCATTTTTCTTTAATTAATAATTTTCCCCTCATATAAAAAAAAGTTTATTTCGTATCTTTTTGATTAATGATTTTTTTTAAAATTGTCACCACCAGGCAAAACCTATAGAACAGCCACTGCCCTGGTCATCACATTCCTGGTCAACAACCACCAGGACCAGAGTAAGAATGGCCCAGCCAAGGCCTGGGAGAGTAAGTTTATTGAGTTCATGAAGAACTACACGGCCGCTCACGATGATGTGGAGATAGCTTTCTCTTCAGAGGTACACATTTAAACTTGTACATTTGTAGAAGAAATAAATTTTTGAAAGTTTTTTTATTATAAATTAAGATATTGAATTTGATAAAGACTTAGGGATAAAAATGTTATTAAGAAAATGAAGATAAGACAAACTGTATCACATTGAGTTGAGATTTTTTTGTCATTATTTTTGTTAGAAACAGGGATATAGTTTATGTCAGAGTATGGTCAGAAATATTGTGTTACTATTGTTTTTACCAATAGGTTACTATTTAAACAATGATTACAGAGAAATACTTCCTTATCTAACTTAGAGGAAGCTTATTGTAAAAGTTGTCCTAGCAGATGTATAAAGTGTGTTAAACTTTCAGCTTTGTATAAAGTGTGTTAAACTTTCAGCTTTGTATAAAGTGTGTTAAACTTTCAGCTTTGTATAAAGTGTGTTAAACTTTCAGCTTTGTATAAAGTGTGTAAAACTTTCAGCGATCGATTGAGGACGAGATTGACCGTGAAAGTGAGAGTGATATCTTGACCATCCTGTTGAGCTACCTCATCATGTTTGGGTACATCACCATCACCTTAGGGCAGTACACCTCGTTTCGGAGGATACTGGTGAGTCAAATCAAACCCTCATTTCATCTGTGTTCATGATCTATTGAGCCAGTTATAGTGCTTTAGCATGAAATTGAACGTAACGAAAAAAAAAAATAAGTTAATTTTATCCATAATTCCAAAAATATTGCATTAAAAAAGTGTCATTTTTTTTTTTTAAATTTTTTTTCCATAGTTTTATAATATGGTAAAAGTGAACCTAAAATTCAGTTGTGTATTTTGTCATTAGGTGGATGCTAAGGTTACCCTAGGGCTCGCAGGTGTCATCATTGTCCTGTTGTCTGTGGGATCTTCTCTGGGATTCTACAGCTATATTGGTATCCCATCCACCTTGATCATTGTTGAGGTGGTGCCTTTCTTGGTGCTGGCTGTGGGTGTTGACAACATCTTCATCCTCGTACAGACCAGTCAGGTAAACTTATGGTACAGTATCTTAGGGTATTGTTTTACTTCATTTTTAGTTTGTTGACTTGCACAGAATTTTTAAGTATGCGGCATTATTTATAAATAAATAATTTCTGGTTAATTTCCTTTTTGTGTAGGAATAATTTGTTGTTTAAATTTTGTTTCACTGGAGTTTGTTCCCTTTGGTTGTTTCACTGGAGTTATTTCCCTTTGGTTGTTTCACTGGAGTTGTTTCCCTGTCCACAGAGGGAGCCCAGTGTGGATGGAGAAACAGTGGAAAACAGAATAGCTCGTGTTGTGGGCAAAGTTGGGCCCAGTATGTTGCTGACCAGTCTGTCTGAATCTCTCGCCTTTTTCCTAGGTAAGTGGCACTGGTTGGATTTACTTTGACGCAAAAGTGTGTCATTAAAAAAAGCAAAAAAAAATTTTTTTTACATACTTTAACGAGTGTCCATTTTCCAGGTGCCATGACAGACATGCCAGCTGTCAAGATCTTCTCGTTGTATGCTGCCATGGCCGTGATGTTTGACTTCCTGCTGCAGATCACCATCTTTGTGTCTCTGCTGACATTAGATGCTAAAAGACAAGAGGTAAGAATTACATTTTATTCTCAAGGGAATTGGGAACCATCCTTTTTTTAAAACTCTGTCAAGAAACATTATTGACATTTTTTTGTGCTTGCATTGCCAGACATGATATTATAAACATTTTCTTTAATGTCTATTATTGTTAAAGTGAGTAATATCCCTGTGCATGTTTGACCTGATCTCACCTGTTGACCCTTGTTGACCCACAGAGTAACAGAATAGATGTTCTGTGCTGCCAGAAGCTGCCACTGAAGAAACGTAAAGCCCACCATGGGTTACTGTACACAGTTGTTGACAAATACTACTCACACTTTTTGATGAAGGAATGGGTCAGGCCGATTGTTGTAAGTTTTCAAGCTTTTTACTTATTTTATAAATTGCCATAACCTTTATAGCATTAATGTGTTATCAATTTTTTTTTTTACTAAATATTTTATTTTATTCTTCTTTTCAAAAGTAAGTTTTTCTAAATATATTAATGAAGTTGTTTTTTCCCAACTCTTTTGAAGATTAAATACAACATGAAACATATTTTCTCCACACATTTGTATTTGTGGATTGATCCTGTGGTTAAACAGAATTATTTTTTCTTCAGATGATAGTTTTTGTGGGTTGAACCTGTGGTTAAACAGAATTATTTTTTTCTTCAGATGATTGTTTTTGTGGGCTGGTTCTGTGCAAGTGCTGCTATGACATCAAAGGTTGGAATAGGTCTGGACCAGTCTCTCTCCATGCCAAAGGTAATTATTTTTTTATACTCATGACAATTCCAAAGCAACAGCTGCATATACATATTACTTTGGTTTAAATAGTTAAAGTAAGGTTGTTTCTTGTATCTGGCAAATGAGCTCATCTACATTTCTACAAATCTACTGCTGACCTACTGTACATGGGGTGTGACTCTATACCTATGTTTCATCTACCCACTCCCCAATATTCTACTGCTGACCAACTGTACATGGGGTGTGACTCTATACCTTTGTTTAATCTACCCACTCCCTAATGTTCTACTACTTACCTACTTGTCCTGATGTTGTAATTCTATACTTGTGCTTAATCTTCACCCAGCTGTTGTTCTGTTGTTTTTACAAAGAAAATACTGATAAATTATAGTTAATTTGTTAGTACACAGTACCCAATTTTTTACTGCTGACCTACTGTTTTATTGGTGTGATTCAGTACTTAAAGTATCTGTGTATCTATCCCCAGGATTCCTATGTGCTGAATTACTTCCACAATTTGAGCAGATACCTGTCTGTGGGGGCGCCGGTGTATTTTGTGGTAGAGAGTGGGATCGACTACTCCACGTACCAGGGTCAGAACGACGTGTGTGGTATAAGTGGGTGTCCGCAGGACTCGCTCGTCCAACAGATCAACCACGCAGCTTTGGAGCCTAGCTAGTAAGTTGCAGCTATTGGAATTTCATTTATAAAATCCATGTCAATGTTTAAAATGATAGTTTTTTTGTTTTTTTTTTCACACTTATTTTTTTATTCCTCCAGTAATTATGAATCAGAAACACTTTTTAAACTATTTTATGATTGTATCTTACCATAAGATGTATTTTTATGTATGTATTGACTATTATGTATGTATTTATACAAGTTAAGCACCTGTTTTTGTAATGAATTAATTTAGATGTTAAGATGGTCCACTGTATGTAAGGTAAAGTATTAAGTTGAAACTTTACCACCAAAACTTTATCATCCACAGTACCTATGTAGCCCAGCCTGTCTCGTCATGGCTTGATGACTACTTCTCCTGGCTCTCCAGTCCAGCTTGCTGTAGATTCAACAATCTGACAGGGGCTTTCTGTCCATCCACTGGTCAGTTCATTTCCTGCTTGTCCATGGGAATATTTTTATCTCTTTTTTTTTTAAATTATCTTTTTGTGAAAAAAAATGTTATCTTTTTTAAAAAAAATTTTTTATTAATAACACTACGAATTAGTATTTTACTTCTGTAATGTCTTACCTAAAATGTTAATAATCTGTGAATGACTTTTCTGTTATACAGAGGTGAACGCATCATGTATTCCTTGCCCCTTGGACCACACTGAGAAAGGTCGACCTGTTAATGAGACCTTTGACAAGTATATTGCCTGGTTCCTGAAGGACAACCCAGGCATCAAGTGTGGAAAAGGGTAAGGAGGGAGTTTTTTGTGTGCTACGTGATTGAGGAATTGAATGTAAAGGTTCGAGTAAAATCAATCATATAATGAGGGTAGTAGCTGTTTCTTGTGAAAACTAAAACTTTTATATGTATTATCTAGTAAAGAGAGCGATTCAGTTGTCATAAGATTCATTATAATTGTCAGTTTCTTTGAAAGTAGAACCTAGTCAATATTAGATGGCATACGAAGTATGGTTTGTGAATGTTTTTATGAAACGTGTGTATAGTTCAATGAATAATTTGTTACATTGTCCACAGCGGTCATGCGGCGTACGGTACAGGTGTTCAGTTGTACACAGGTGAACACAATAGGACGCGGGTTGGAGGTGAGTACATACATGGTCACACTTTGTGTGGACTGTGATGGATCATGCACATAGCGTTTAATATAATGGAGGTGGGGCAGATGTATCATTGTTTATATTGTTTTAAGTTTACACAGGTGAAGGGTTGAAGAGAGCTTTGTTATAGAACACTTTTTTACTTATTAATTTTGAGACATTTCTGCTTTTAAAGCATGTTTGGATGAATAAGTTGACACTTCTGTCTTACACTTACTTTCCTATCAAGCAAAATAACGTTTTATTATTGTTTTATAACATTTTTTTAAAAAGTTAATCTCTCAAAATGATTTAATTCAAGTAATTTGGTTTAAAACACTTAACTTTTTGTAGTGCCCATTATGATGTAATTCTATAGAATATGTCATGCGGGATATGAGGGCACATCATCTGGCATATGTCATGAATGCTGACATTTGGATGTCAATGGTTGTGTGGGATGATAAAAGGATGTGAAAAGAAATTACATTGTAACTTTTCTGTTTCAGCCTCCTACTTCATGACTTACCACACCATCCTGAAGACATCAGAGGATTACATCAATGCTCTGAAAGACGCCAGAGAAATTTCTGACAACATAACCAAAACTTTAAATAAAGATGGTGGACATTATAAAGTTTTTCCTTACAGGTAAATGTTGCTTCATAAATTTGAAATTCTTTGTAGTACCTCATGCATTCTTTCAACTTAATTAAAAAGGTGGTTTCTCTATTTTTTATTAAAAATGTATATAAAACAGTTCGCAAGTATATTTACTTGTTAGTTTAAACATATTTTATTAGACCTTTAATTATTGTTGCTGTTTCTAAATTAATTCGATATTTTAACAAAAAATTTCTTTGAGGATCTGTTTTAAAAAATGTCTCTTACATATTTTAGAAATTTAAAAAATTAATTTATATTTTTATATTATTTATTTTAAACCTTGAATTATAAATCAAACAATGGACCTTAGCCATGAGAAAATTTTTCTAAACATTCTCAAACTTTCTTCCCACAGTGTCTTCTATGTGTTCTATGAACAGTACCTCACCATCATCATGGACGCCATCTTGAATGTTGTCTACTGTCTGACAGCCATTTTGTTTATAACTTTCATCTTGTTGGGTTTTGACCTGTACTCTGCTGTGGTGGTGGTCATCACGATTATCATGATAGTTGTTGATATCATGGGCCTGATGTATCTGTGGAACATAGACCTCAATGCCCTCTCCCTTGTAAATATAATCATGGTAAGTACCATTCCATTGTCTCTTGTTTTGGGTCTATTTAATTATTTACTTTCTTTATTTCTTATTTCTGGGTTATAAGTAAATAAGGTTGTATAAAATGGAATTTGGTTGTTTAATCATTCTAAATTTTTAAAAACTTCACCATTTAAACAAGTAGGCCTATATCCATCATCTGGAGTATGTTAAAGTGATCAGTTTTCATTAAATAAGTAGCTTTTTTTTTTGAAAAAAAATAAATTTTGAAAAAAAATATTCTAGAAGTTACCATAAATGATAATATTGAATACATGCACATTATAATTGCGTAGCGTTATAAAATAAATTTCCCCCCCCCCTTGTCTTGACCAGGCTATTGGTATCTCAGTGGAGTTTTGTTCCCACATTATCCGAGCCTTCGCCATCAGTGTGCTGACAACACGTAAAGAGAGAGCTAAGGATGCTCTATCACACATGGGCAGCTCAGTAAGTGCAGGGTTACGGAACTTTATCATGGAAAGTTATCTCAGTCTCTCTGCTGGTATACTGAACTTAATCATGTGTTCTTGTACTTCTAGAAGTTAAAGGATAATTAATTTTTAGACTTGATTTTATTTATAATACTAGGATAGAATTAGTAATTCTTTGGATAGTAAATATGTTAATTTAGTTTATCTGTGTTTTGTTGTGTAAGTCGATTTGGTCAAATTTGGTATGAAAGACCAGTGAGTGACAGCTAGAAGTTGTTGGAAGTAGTTAGGTTGTAGGGAAGAAGGTGGAAGCTTGTTTGAGAAGTTGTGCTATAAAAAAAGAAAACCACATTGACTGGCAAACTTAAGTTGATTGTGTGATAGAAACAAATGCCTACTGTCATTTTTTGTTAAAGATAAACTTAAGTTTATGAAGTAAATGTGCTGTTTCTAGGTGTAATGTGAAAGTTAAATGTAAACTTCCCATGTGTTTAGGTACTAAGTGGTATCACCCTGACCAAGCTGGGTGGCATCATCATGCTGGGCTTCTCCAAGTCTCAGCTGTTCCAGGTGTTCTACTTCAGGATGTACCTGGGCATCGTGGTCTTTGGCGCTACGCACGGGCTCATCTTTTTACCTGTCTTTCTCAGTTATTTTGGTAAGACGTTGTTTTTTTTTTGTTGTTAAAAATGGTATTGCTAGTAGTGATCATTGTTGTCCAATAACACACTGTCTTAATCCTGGACACTTATGAGTTTAGATTTCGCAAGCACTTTTCTACTGCTAGATCATACCATCCTGTTTTATATTTATGTGAATTATACTCTCCTTTCTAGAGAATTCTAATCAAATGGTTTCTCCCCCCAGGCCCACCTGTAAACAAGGCCAAATATTACCTGAGCAAAGAGAACGAGAGGGACCCAACCAACCTGTCCAGCACCAGATCTAGTCGCCAGTCTAACGGCACCTACACACCGTCCTACGACAGTCCACCAGACTACAGCACCATAGGCAGATCTTCCACCATTGAAACATAAGGACTTCACTGATACATTCATGGTCAGTGCCACTCAATGTCTGTTGGTCAAATCAACACACTTGAGACAGACTTTCTTGGATTATTTTATAAAGACAGTGCTGGTTGTGTGATTAGATGAACTCCTATTATTCACATCATGTCTTCATGGTTAACTCGTATGGATAGGCTCTGCACTAAAGCCAGAGACACTTCAGATGATTCCATTCAACGTCTCTTTATATCTCTAGCTACGTAAAGATTAAAGACTGCAGCATTTGAAAAAATTTCCATGTATTTTTATGAAGACGGTAAATAATTGACATGCGATTGTCTTCCATATTTCTGTAATTTATAATAGTATAATGGCATTAAGCTCTGAAAGAATGGTGTATTTTAAGAATGATAACCACATGATTTATGTTGTTTATATGACTGAATGTTTTTAACTGAACTCATGGCTGTGTGAGTGAAAGAAGCAATGTGATTGTGGTGATTGCTTGTGTACATACACACATATTTCTGGTTTGGATTTATTTACTGTTAATGTAATGTGGTCTTTCAGAGCTTAAAAATTATTTTCTTGATTATTGTAGAAAAAACTGTTTACATGCATAGATTTATATGTGTTTCAGATTTTTAAAATTTCAAAGGATAAAAAATATTAAACCTTAGTGCTAAAATGTGGTTTAAGTATGGAATATTTTTTTTTTTGTAAAAATGAAAAATCAGGAATTATGACTGCTGCAGTCCATCATATATCAAATAATATTGTCAACTGTTAAAGCCTTTTTTAACTTGTGAACTCGGATATTTCAAAATGTTTACTTTGTGACAGGAGTACCTGTAGCACAAAGGCAGTTATTCCCTTTTAAAAATGTACCATTCCTCTTCGTGAGAATAATTCCAAGCCTCTAAGCACCAGATACTGGTGTTACCATGACAACTACTGAAAAAGTTTTAAACAAAATGAGATTAAATAATTTATCTGTCATGTCCAATGTCTACTGAAATCAGCCCATTGATAATTTTTGGCCATGCTGCATGTAAAAATTTTGTTTTCCCCTCCGGTGAAAATGGTCCTGGTTTAATTTGCAACAATCAAAAGTTGATATTAAGTTATACTGGCTATGAACTGAATCAGCAATGAATCTACTTGAAGATGATATCCAAGGGATTATGCACATATTGTATAGCAAAAACAGGATATTTGAACCCACCCGCTACACCATACATTTCCTTACACCACTACGTGTTGTTAAATTACATTTATAGAACATTCACCCTTCCCCAAAACCACACCACCATTTTTTGGTATATTTTTTTGTATTGTAATTTGCATTGGATAATTTTTTTAAAAATTCGTGTAAACTAATACATTGAAGCATTCTATAAAGCAGAATCTAGGCAAAATAAAAAGACAAAAGAAAGTCAACAGGTGTTAATTATTGCTTTATAGTTAAACCTACCCCGACCCATTATATTATGTATGTGCACAATCCCTGTAGGTGACACAATAACGTGTTTACATTGATAATCTATACATTGGGTATGTGCTGATCCGTTTTGAGATAATAGATATATTTATTATTAAATAGTTTTGACTAGGTCATCTTCAGTATTTTATGGTTAATATAACAGTACAGGAAGCTTTTTAACTTAAATTGTTCTTTTTCTTTTAAAAATTAAATTTTCATCTTGCTTTTTTACTAGTTTGAAAAATTATTTTAAAATCTGTTTATTGTAATATGTAAGAGAAATGTAATATTATTTTTGTATGGTAGGAGGTCATAGTTCTTGCATTCCTTTTTTAGTTTATTCCTTTATCTTGCATATAAAGCTCATCAGAAATGCCAGTGCAATGTAATAGATGTTAAAATATTTAAATCTTGTTTCTTTCCTTAACATTTTATGTTTCTGTGAGTAAATTGATGTGCACAAATGACATCTGTGGAATAAATTGTCCAAAGATTTTTTTAGCATCTCATTCTTTTACTCCCCTTGCCATAGTTAAAGTGGGTTTGTAAATATAAATCATTTAAAGCTTATGTACAAAAAAATGTCTTGTTTTTGTGTACATTTATAGAAAGGGTAATTTCATTTATTATTGATTTAGGTTAGCTTCAGTTTGAAAGCTTGTATTTTATTTCTTTGAAAAAATTGGTAACAAACTAATCAAACATACCTTAGCAACACCCATTGTTTTAAAAAAAAATTCTGTTTTTTTTTTCTTCCAGAAAAATTTCTTTACATTTTTTTTTGTCTTGAACTAGAACCTTCTACAAATCAATACAAAATATTCTTAGTCTGCTGATGGTTTACTATGTTATGGCCTTGGTGTATTCATACACCAATTATAACTTGAACAGCACAGGTGTTGTTAATAAATAATAATTTCCAATGCTATAATTAATTGATGATTTATACTTGGAAGAAAGTTTACTGGGCAAAATAACTGAACAAATGTTTATTTTGTATTAAAGAATCAATTACACTAATGGTTGTTTGTTGATTGCTAGCATTCATTTGCTTGTAGCAGTAAAGAAACTTAGTCTTTGAATGAGTGTAAACTAACAAACTAGTAATGAAGGTTCTAAGTCAAAAGCAATCTACCCTTTTATATTAATTTTTAAAATTCAAAACAGTTTGCTATTCTATTTTAAAAAATGTAATTTACGCGAAATTTTGGGGGCAATCACTCCCGCCTTATTTGTATACATTACTAGATACACCTAGTTTATAAAAATAGAATACAAACAAAAATAATGTTTGGTGCTTTGATTTGATAAACACCTATATTTTTTATTGTTTTTTTTTTTCAGTGTTTGTTCATGATACTAAAAATGAACACTGTAAACAAAATACAGGGCATTTAAATGCAAATACAAAAAACAAACTCACTCAATTGAAACATATCAAGCAATTTTTTTTATCTTAAAACAACTAATTAATAACATCATTAAACTCAATGTCTTTCAAAAACAATAAGATTGAACAGATATTTAACTTGGGTTATAGATGTACAAAGGTTGGACAACTAGGGCACTTCTAATCTACACATAAAGCAATACATAAAATATAGGAGTGATCTTCTCCCTTTAATTTAGGTAGCTCTTTTAATTTAAAGTATTAAGTAAGGTTCATCCTCAAAACTACAAAACAGTGTGGTGTAAGTTAAGTTTTTATCACAATCTTGAAAAAAAAAAAGCTTCTATTGACAATTGCAATGGTTAGCTAGTTAAGCTAAAACTTTATTTTAATTGCACCATTAATCTTGTATTGAGGAGCACTCAAGAAAAGATTATTGTAACTATTGATATAAAATTTGTGAAACTGTATATTCTATGCAAAAGTTGTTGATTGAGATAAAACAAATGACACCAACACTGATCAGTTTCTTGGATGTTTGGTTGGAAAGACAAGATCAAGCAGATACAAAGCCAATTTAACATCCAATACAAAAAACACTTATATTAAATCGAGACTCATGACAACCACTCTCCTACTCAAGGTGGAGAGTTTTTAAATATGTAGACTTGATAACTTTTAAACACAAGAGCTATCGTGTTAGTTGAATCATTAAAAATCATTGACATTTATTGTTATAATCATGTATTGCAATTTTCAAACAGTACTTGTCTGGCATGACTGTTGCCATGGGTACAAATTCTCTCATCAATGATTATTTTTTACAACAAAACAAAGCCAGTCTGCATGGTTATGATTTATAAAAACAAGCATATGAATTTAGAGTCACATGATATTAATTTGTGCACCTATCAAACAACTTGGCTAAATTAACATCAACATGAATTAGAAAAACATTTTAAAAATATATAAACAGACCCTGATATATTCCAACCAAAACATCAGACATCCATACATATAAAAATATGTGTAAAATAAAAATTCTGATTTTTACACCATCATGCTGCTGTCAGTATTTAAGTAAAAAAAAAAATCAAGACTAAAAACAGACGAGCCAGTTTTAAAGAGTTTTGTTCCACTAAAAACTGTTTTGATAAAAAAATGTTCAAAACAAATAATGCCACCACAGAAGTCATATGTTTGTTGGACATAACTTAAATGATGTGGTAAAATAACAGTTTTGTTATTAAAAGAATTTGAATCAAGCTAGCACCACTTATGTGATACAACATCATCTTTAAAAAATGGCCAGTGGTATTCTTCACATAGATGAGAGCAAGAACACCATGAGGAACTGCACCTAATGTACATGAACACAGAAAATGTTGATTAAAAATGTCTTCTAGTCTCACACTCAGCTAATGCCTGTGGTAAGGCCGGCCTCGCCCATGGTAGCCGCGGTGGCTGCGGTAGTCCTTGTGGTGGGGGGGCCCGTAGTGGTCCCCACCTCGAAAGTCTATGTCTCCTGGGTGGGGGTATTGGGGCCCAGGTGGGAGAACACCTCTGTTTGCAGGTAGAGGAGGCAAGGGGGGTGGAGGTTGTGGGGGGAGTGGAGGAGGTGGCTGGTCAGGCGGGAGAGGTTGTCTGTTTCTGAAGTCTATGTCTGCTGGGGGGAAGTCAGTGATTCCAAGGACTTCGGCTGGTTTTTCAAACTCAGTTCCTGGTGGGGGAGGTTGTGCCCTGCCTTTAGGGGGTGGAGGTCGGGAGAGGGCAGTCCTTGGAGTTGGATGGTAGGGGATGTGCGGTTCAAGTGGGGGGAGGGGGAATCGAGGATGAAGAGGACCGTGAGGGGGTGGGGGAAGATTGGGGTGTGGTCGTGGGTAGCCCCGGGGGTCACCTGGTAGAGGAGGAAATGCGTGTGGATCAAGAGGGTGCTTTGGCGCTTGGTGTGGGGCTCTGTACAATCTGTCATCCCTGTCTTGAAAATATGACCGGTCATCCCAATCTTGTGGACCTGATGCTAGCCTGGCATCATAGTCCTCAAAACTGGCTTTTCCTTCTGGGTTGCCAGTCGTTTTCTCGACAGATTCTAGAGTAGAGGCCATCACTGATGCTGACATTGTAGATGAGAGTAGTGAGGAGGACTGGGTTGCAGTGATGTTCCGCAGGTCAACATCCATTGAACTTTCAAATGGGGCGGCAGAAGAAACAGAGAGGGGATCTGTCTGAAAGCCACCAGCTGACAGAGATGTGCCACCAGCTTCAGAAGACAGAACCGCCGTGGTGTCTGGCTTCTGCAAGGGGAAGAGCCCACCTTTCTTAAGTTTCTCTAAAAGTTCATCAATAGTTGGAGGAGCTTGTGGTTTCTCTGCTGAAGGATTGCTCTCACTGCCTGTAATACTGCTACCCGTCTCAGTCTTCTTCAAGCTATCTAAAACATTCCTGGCATCCAATTCATCGTCATCTCTTTTTACAACTCCTTGCTCAGCTGCCATTTTTTTCTCAATATCTTCCTTGGCAAATTTTTCTAATTTCTCTGCCTCTTTCTTCAATAAAATTTTCCGCCTTCGCTCCAAAGATGAGAACTGCGTGTTTCCCATAACATCATTCATCAATGCCTTCAAGGCATCTGGGATTCCAGAAGCCGCAGACTCAGCGGATTCCAACTCTGAGTTATCCGATGCAAATGAGTGTTGGGATGAGGTGTCCTCAGTCAGGACTGGAAGCTTAAGTTTGTTCTCAGCGCCTTCAACAGAAAACACTGTGGCTGCAGGGGTACTCAGCGGCTGGGTGGTTTTGGACAGAGTTTTAAGAAATGAGAACCTGATCCCACCAGAGTCTTTGGTCTCAGGAGCTGGCGGCTCTGTGGGTGATAGTTTTGGCAGTGTTGGCTGAGACAAGTTTTGTGAGGACGTGACCAGAGAGTCAGTTTGTGCTGGGTCAGAGGTTATAACACTGGACGAAAATGTGCTGGTGGTGGATGAGGATGAAACTTCATGAACTGCCACAGATTCTTGACTGAAATGACTTGATGTCGTTGACTGGGAAGTGTCTTGGCCATCCACAGCTGTGCCGGCAAAAAATTGTGCTGGGGCTTGACTTGAAGATGTAATACTGCTTGGCAAATCTTTTCCCACCCGCCTCTCCCCTGAGTCAGAAGACTTCTCCTTTCTGGCACCAGACCCCAGCAAGTTGGCCTTCCTGGCAGCCTCAGCCAGCTGGAGCTTCCTTTCTTCCACTTGCTTGGTCAGGTCAACCAGGAGCTTCTGCTGCTCTTGTGGGGTGCTGGCTGTGGACAGGGCAGTTATCATAAGGGAAGAGATTTCTTGAGGATCATTGCTCCTGGCCATTTTTTCTACCAACTCTGATATGTGACTTGCATTGCCTGATTGGAAAAAACAACATCAATGTTGACAATAAGTAAAAAAGACCAATATTTCAATATACAAGAAATACATTTTTTCAATTATTCATAGATTAAAAAAATGTCTAAAATTCTAAATCAGTGAGTTCAAATGTCATAGTTCAAAGGTCATAGTTCACTAGCTTCTACTATAACAGTAGGTGTCTCATCAACACTTGGTAAAGAATTTTTCCCCCAAACAGGAACTGAGAGGATCCTGGCATCTTGCATGTTTGACTGAAATCTCAGTGTCTAATTCATTGGGTTTAGCAGCCAAAAGATTAAAATCTTGATGGAAGATTCTGACAACAAAATAGCATTAGAACAATGGTAAGAACAGACATGATGAAGACAATGTTAAGACACCAGTCAAGATGAAGACAATGTTAAGACACCAGACAAGATGAAGACAATGTTAAGACACCAGTCAAGATGAAGACAATGTTAAGACACCAGACAAGATGAAGACAATGTTAAGACACCAGACAATGTTAAGACACCAGACAATGTTAAGACACCAGACAATGTTAAGACACCAGACACAGTTAAGACACCAGACAAGATGAAGACAATGTTAAGACACCAGACAAGATGAAGACAATGTTAAGACACCAGACAATGTTAAGACACCAGACAATGTTAAGACACCAGACAATGTTAAGACACCAGACAATGTTAAGACACCAGACAATGTTAAGACACCAGACAAGATGAAGACAATGTTAAGACACCAGTCAAGATGAAGACAATGTTAAGACACCAGACAAGATGAAGACAATGTTAAGACACCAGACAATGTTAAGACACCAGACAATGTTAAGACACCAGACACAGTTAAGACACCAGACAAGATGAAGACAATGTTAAGACACCAGACAATGTTAAGACACCAGACAATGTTAAGACACCAGACAATGTTAAGACACCAGACAATGTTAAGACACCAGACAATGTTAAGACACCAGACAATGTTAAGACACCAGACAATGTTAAGACACCAGACAATGTTAAGACACCAGACAATGTTAAGACACCAGACAATGTTAAGACACCAGACAATGTTAAGACACCAGACAATGTTAAGACACCAGACAAGATGAAGACAATGTTAAGACACCAGTCAAGATGAAGACAATGTTAAGACACCAGACAAGATGAAGACAATGTTAAGACACCAGACAATGTTAAGACACCAGACAATGTTAAGACACCAGACAATGTTAAGACACCAGACACAGTTAAGACACCAGACAAGATGAAGACAATGTTAAGACACCAGACAATGTTAAGACACCAGACAATGTTAAGACACCAGACAATGTTAAGACACCAGACAATGTTAAGACACCAGACAATGTTAAGACACCAGACAATGTTAAGACACCAGACAAGATGAAGACAATGTTAAGACACCAGTCAAGATGAAGACAATGTTAAGACACCAGACAAGATGAAGACAATGTTAAGACACCAGACAATGTTAAGACACCAGACAATGTTAAGACACCAGACAATGTTAAGACACCAGACACAGTTAAGACACCAGACAAGATGAAGACAATGTTAAGACACCAGACAATGTTAAGACACCAGACAATGTTAAGACACCAGACAATGTTAAGACACCAGACACAGTTAAGACACCAGACAAGATGAAGACAATGTTAAGACACCAGACAATGTTAAGACACCAGACAATGTTAAGACACCAGACAATGTTAAGACACCAGACAATGTTAAGACACCAGACAATGTTAAGACACCAGACAATGTTAAGACACCAGACAAGATGAAGACAATGTTAAGACACCAGTCAAGATGAAGACAATGTTAAGACACCAGACAAGATGAAGACAATGTTAAGACACCAGACAATGTTAAGACACCAGACAATGTTAAGACACCAGACACAGTTAAGACACCAGACAAGATGAAGACAATGTTAAGACACCAGACAATGTTAAGACACCAGACAATGTTAAGACACCAGACAATGTTAAGACACCAGACAATGTTAAAACACCAGACAATGTTAAGACACCAGACACAGTTAAGACACCAGACAATGTTAAAACACCAGACAATGTTAAGACACCAGACCTTTGACTGCTGCCGGTTGAGGATCAGGTACAGCTGCAGGAGCAGGGGCAGCTGGTGTCACTGAAGCTGCAACAGCTGTGGAGGTACTGCTTGGGGTGGTGGTGGTGGTGGTGCTGCCAGAGAATATTGGTACACCGCTATCATCAATCACACTCTCATCCTCTGGGTCGTACGGCTCATCTGCTGCGGCTTCTTGGCCAGGTGAGTATGGCTCGGCTTCCTTACCAGGTGAGTACGGCTCAGAGTCATCTGCAACACAACATTATAAGGCTTGTAAACAGTTCTATTTTTAACCTGACTCCACATTTGATGATTACAAGATGACAAGTGCTGCATATTAAGCATAACAATTCATAAGCACTAGAAAATTAAGTGTAAAAACTTCTACACCAAAAGTGGAACAAGCAGCTTGTGTTTACAATGAAAGACTTGAAATTCTCTAAAGCGGTTATATTTTATTTACAATAGTTGAAGCAGTTTTAAACAACTTCCATCACCCTGTATTTAAGTTTTGGCAGCTATATTCTATTAATTACTTACAAAGATGGAATTTATTTTTTTAAATTATTTTAAAATTTTGAAATGTAGAAAAAACAAAAACGAAATTTACAAAATTAAAGCTGACAGCTAAGTTAAATGTTCACCGACTGAAAAAATCAATTTCTAAAAAGAGTTTTTAATATCTTTAATAACAATGCTGCAAAACCAATGTAAACCCCCACATTTAAATTTGATAAAACACCATAGACACACAAAGCTACAAATAGCTATCCCTGAAACGACACCCAAATAAATATGTAAAACAAAAATGATAAGAGACATAGAAGCAGATTTTTACACATGTGTTTGTGGAATTCACTGCTGCTTTTCTGTTCTCTGAAAATTTGGTATTAAAGTAAACAAACTTTGAGAAATACCACAATATTTGTTAATTATAACATTTATTTATGGGGAAATCAATTTGATAAAATCCATTACCTTCAACTGGTCTTACGTCAGCCTTCTTAGATGGCTGCTTTTCTGAGTGATGGTGCTCTTTGTGATGATGATGATGGTGGCGATGATGGTGATGGTGGTGGTGTTTTTCTTTGCCATCTTTACTAGGAGCAGAATCATCAGAAGGGGGTGTCTTATCCTCTTTCTTCCTCTCATGTTTATCTTTTTTCTTCACTGTTGGTGTTGGCACATACTCAGCCACTGGCTTAGTAGCACCTAGTGAATTATGGGTAATGTTCATGATGAAATATTCAGCCACACCCAATGAACTGTGGGGAGTGTATATTTAAATGCTAACCACAGTCGAAAAATATTCTAATGAATTATGTTGTTGTATTAGTCTGTTAGTTTCACACTAATACAACTCTGCAAGAGCTGTGGGTAAGAGTTGTGCAGCTAAGCTGAGTTTTTCTGAGGTGAAAATTTCAATTATCACTAGGTTATAAGTGACAACAGCGAGTAAAATATTTGTACCATTCACCCTAAATCCCTAGCAGAACAAAATCTCAAACCAGGCTTCAACCAGCCAATGACCTGTTTCATTAAGTTAAATTTACAAAATATAAAAAAAAACAATGTCATTTATAGGCCAGGCCACATACAGTGTATAGTCAAAGGAAAAGTTATTTATAAAACATTAGCCTTAGAAAGGGGTGTATTTTTGTTTTGCGTTTTAAAAAATCTATGATAACCTCTAGTAAATAAAATAGCTTATCTCTAACTAATAGTTCAGTAAAATATATTGCAGTTAAAAAATAATTATATAATGAATATTATGTAGTAAAAGGGGCTTGGTCTTGAGTGAGAATGAAAGAAATAAAATGTCTGAGAACAACATTAGCAAGCCTAGATTCTGCAATCATTGAATAGAGCAGAGTGGCCAAATAAAGCTGACCAAGTGGGTAGATGGCCATGTTTAAATTCATATAATAAGAGCTGACGCTGCTAGAAAATTGAAACAGAGAGACTTGACAGAAAACAACTTCAGAGAAACAGAAGTATATTAATTAAAATAGAGCTGTCACAACAAAAAACAGCATAACCTGACAGAGAAAGCAACAGCAACGGCAGATTTAAAAAAAAAACAACAGGATGTTACAATAGATTAGTGGACAATTCAAGCTAATGTGAAGTGTGAACGCATAATAAACTGCTCATCATTAAATTTAGCTTTGTAGCCAACATTGATTAAATACATTTAAATAAAAGCATCCCAAAGCCCCAAAAAAAGAGCAAATATAGAAAAGTTTTTAAAACCTGAATTAAACAAAACAATGTTTTTTCCACTTACTTTTTGTCTTAACAGGCATTGGAATGTATTCTGGATCATATTCTTCGGTTGGTGTCTTAGATTTGGCTTCTCCAGAACTAGACATGCTGTCTGCACTACCAGAGGGGCTAGCCTTGGGCTGCAGATTCAATATTGATTTCTTAATCAGTGTCAGGCGTAAAGAAAATATCTAACTCATAATAAATCATAGTATTAAGTGTAAAGCAAATATCCAACTCATAAGACTTAAATCAAAGTGTAGTGTAAAAAGTGTAAAAAAGGACACTATTCCAATCATGAAAGCAAACTTGGCAGAAGTAAACAACTGAAGTCAATATTTTTAGAAGGCTTACACTAGGTTCCATAGCAGCAGCCAGTTTAGCCAGGCGCGGATCTCTGCTGACGGCAGCAGCTGGGCGTTGTTTGCTGCTGGGTGCTGGTGAGCTGGTGGAGTTGACGGGTGTGGCTGCCTTACTGCTGGAGCTGCTGCTGCTGTCCCCGTTGTCCGTGGTGCTGTGCTTGCCTCGCTGTCTCACCAGGATGCCTATCAGCATGTGAGGACGGTTTTCTTCCAAGCCTTACATTGAAAAAAAATAAAAGTCAATGGTTACTGGGTTGGTTTAATAAGATCATTTCAAGTGACAATAATATTTATTGTAAGAATAATGGTCATGTTTGTCATTGTCAATTCTGATTTTCTTCCAAGCCTTATATAAAAAATAGAAATAAGATAGGTCATAAACAGCTTTTTCAATGTGAGTCCAATTTATTGGTATGTTAAAAATGATTTTTTATAGAATTGTTAAATAACATTATAAGACAATAAGTCTGAAACGTTTATGAAAATAGATAAACACAACTAGATAATGAACTGAATGTACTGACAATGTGAGCATAAGGATAAACATTCATCATTATTAATGTGTTTATCTTCGATGGATATGTTTAGAAATTCATGCAAAATACTACGGTTGCAGTTATGTAACAATTTAAACAACTGCTACATGGCTACAGCAAGGATAACTGACACCAGTGCAGATTTTGCTGGAGAGAAAACCTACCTGGTCCATCAAATGGAAGAAGTGTTCTGGGAATTTTACTGTGTGAAGCCAACGGGACAACATAGAAGTCTTTGATCTGTTTGTTGGGGTTACCAGCTACACCACAGCGACTGCGACTATTGAGATACGAGTACAGGTGGACATAGGCCACTTTCTCATCATCACTGCCAGGGATGAATCGGACCACAGTCAAATCCTAAGGAGAAGACACAATTTAACTCTTTAAGCCCGTAATTATTTTCACGTTTTACCGGAATTATTTTTTTCCCCTCTTTTTTTTTCAGCACCCCTGCGGCTAAATGACCCATATCTTTTTACCCGTTAATTTAAACCCCACACAATATTGATAAAAATTAATCGTAATTGAATACCCTACACACTGATATAAACTTTAAGGAATTATTAATTTATTGAAGAAAGATAATTAATTAGATTTAAAGAAGAAAAAATAAAGAGTTGATTTTTTCGTGCAAAAATTACGCGTCTGTCGGAAAAATTAATAATAAGAATAAATTTTCATGAGTTCTTATTCATAGAAAACGAAAGTACGTCCATTTATCTACAAAAATCATGGATCGGATTAGTCTTAGTATAAATACTTTAATTTTCGTTAATTTTATAATGCGGCGACGTAAACGTTTAGACGCGGCCGCTGAACGGCATTCCGCAGTGTTAAAAAATGCCGTTTTTCGAGTTGTTTTACAAAAAAAATTCTATAAAATACAAAATCGATCTAACGAGAAAACTACAAGAAGTAAATACAACGAAAAATGGCCGCTCTAGCGTTATCATGACCTAGATTTACGATTAAAAACTTGGATTTTGAAAAACAACGAATTAAATAGAGAAAATTTTATCGGACGCTGGGAGCGTCGTTACGGTATGGCAGGCCGGCGGACCGACCGCTGGGAGCGTCGTTACGGTCTTAAAGAGTTAATGAAGTTTTTTTATCTCATAATTCTATTTCATGCATAAACAAAGCAATATTTTAAAAATAGATGTGGCGTGTATGCCAAGAAAACTTACCTTTGACCCAGCTTGACGGATCTTGGACAGGTAATCCCACATGTGATCAGGTGAAATTCTGCCCATGATGTGGATGGTGTCTGGAATTGTCTGCTGACAAAAGCCAAGTACATTAGAAACATTGTGCATATGAAAACTGTTATGGTAAAGCACCAAGTATAATATAAAAAAAATATTCTGTTAAATACCCAACTTACAATGTGTTCGGTGGGTCCAGACACCCTATAGGCTGAAGTGAAAAACTTGGCCACATCTTGCATGGACACAAAGCCCTTCCACAGCATGGGTCCTGTGGGGGTGAACTTTGACTTGGTCTCTAGCCCAGACTGAAGAGCTGAGTCAGGGGACCTAACAGAAGGGATATTTATTTAACACTAAAACATTTTTTAATTCAAATATGTCAAACAGAAACATTAGAAGCAGTAAAGCAGTAGTGTGAGCTTGAACATCTGTCTCTAAAACAAAGCTGACATCATCACCAAAGTATCCACAGATCACTTACATCATTACTTGGATCCTTTTGTGTTCATCAGTTATGGTCACTTCAAAAAAATGAATTTGACCCATAAATGATATTTTTATAAGTAAATAAGTTCTGCCTAGTTTTAATTCCCATTTTATATTTCAGGGTATTTATGCACAGCATGTAAAGGTAAATTGAATGTATGAGATATTTTTTCCCTTTTCCCACTATATGATAAAAAGCTGTCTAGAAATGTTCTAGAAATCTATTTGTGCAAAGTTTAAGTAACAATCTTTCTGATTGTTATTACTGTTGAGCTCAGACACACAAAATCATGGTTTTCCGATAAAACTTCTTGATAAAAATTACTGAATTCCATAATTTATAATACATTGGAAAAACCAATCCAAAAAAAAACAATTCTAAAATAAAAAATATCCACCAATTGTGATAAGAAAAAAACAACTTACCTAACCACCACTTTCTTAGAGACAGAGGAGGCAGCAGATGATGCAGAGGATGTGGATTCCCTGCGAGACTTTGAGATTTTTGGGCTGAGAGGAAGTGGGTTCTGGTCTTGTTTGGGGGATGAGGAGACCATCTTTGGAAGGGAGGCAACCTCTTGTTCTGTTTTCTGTATGGTCCTCAAAGCCTCCTTCACAATCTCCTCTGCTTTGTCATAATCCTCAGTCTCCTTCTGTGAGTTGTCTTCCTCATGGGTCAGTGTCTGGGCAATCTTCACCTGGTGGGATCAGATCAACAGTTAGTTATGTAAAGAAAATAATGTGTGTGCAGTCACATCAGAAGGTGGATGTTATGTGAAGAAAATGTCTGTGCAGTGATATCAGAAGGTGGATGTTATGTGAAGAAAATGTGTGTAGCTTGCATTGACACAATAAACTGCAAATTATATGAAGAATTTTTGTATTCTATTAATTAGCAGCTGTATAGGTCATACCTCAAAAATGTGTTGATATAGGTAAGATAAAAACTAAAAGCTATCAAAAAGTAGATACATTTTATATAAGAAACGCCAGCCACAAATATCTTTATTTTAAGAAGATTGATGCATTCTGACAAACTAATAAAAAAAAACATTTAAAAAACAAAAGGGGTGTAGCTACTACATGATTAGATGTTATTTAAATGTTACTAAATAACAGAACATTACAGTGTAGCAGCTCCAGCCTTGAAGTAGCATAAGTTCTATTTAAAACAAATGGAGGAATTTACTTTAGCTGCAGCAGCAGCAGCTGCCTGTTCCTCTGGTCCAGGTACAATCTTGCCTGTACAGACTTTACAGTTCAGGTCAAACAGGTGGGCTCTGTGCTGGTCTGTGGTGTCAATCACTGGGGTCTGGTTCTGTTCTTCTGGTGCCTCGGGCTCTGGGTCTTTCTTTTCTTCCAGGCGAGTCTGGGGAATAACACAATGATCAGAAACATACAATCAAATGATTTACTTACAAATGGTTACAAAATTAAATTTTAAATCCATTATTTTAAATTACTATGGCAGGAAAAAATTCCCTCATTAACATTAGTTTAGACAAGTAATTAGCCACCACTTCAGAGTAAAGAAACATTTTATTAATTATTTATGCTAAAAATATTTAGTGACACATTAAAAACTGAACTGCTGTTTTTGACAATTACAGTTGTAAAAAAATAACATCTACACCTTAAATAATGTGTACATTTTTTAAACTCATTGATGTAGCAAATGTTTAGAATAAAATAGACAACTTTACCTCCAGGATGCTCAGATCTTCATCCTCCACCTCCACTTCCCCCTTGTGTGTCTTCTTCCTCACATGTTTGGTGCCAGCACTGTCCTTCATGGCTTCTATTTCTGTCTTTTGTATCATCTCAAGTTGCTGCCAAAACATTTTTTTTTTAAATTGGCTTTAATAATAAATTCTGCCTGGCAATAAAAACCAATATGATTTTTAAAATAAGGGGGTAATCAAATATTATTAGCACATGACATCATCATTGTTGTGTCATAACATTTGAAACAGGGTGCTAAATAAAATATTGAAAATGCAAAAGCCTACACAGAAGGCATAATCAAGTTGTAGAGCACTCAAATGTGACACAAAAGTTTGAAGTCAGTTCCTGAATCCACCAGTTATGATAGAATCTTCTCCAGATCCACGGAAAAGAAAAGACAACTTGGCATAGTGGTAACCACTCTATAAATGTAGAAGTCTAGACCATTATCTGGCCTATGGAGAGCCAGGCCTGAAAAGTAGTGGTGACTTACATGTTTACTCTCTTGTTCCCTCCATTTGGCCAGTTCCCTAGAGGCCAGCTCCTCTGTACTCATCTGAACCAGCTTGCTTGGCTTAATTTTACCAGTCAAAATTTTCCTAAACAAACCCTGAAAAAAAAGTTTAGAACATTCACTTGGATGTTCATAAACTAAACAAAATACTTTTTTCTAAATAAACTTTAATTAACGTTTTAAAACATTTGGTTGATAGTTATCTGAAAATATCTAAAAAAAAACTTGTTCCATCCTATGCTTACTACCTTGTTCTGCTAAACAGAAGATTTTGGTCAAAAATAGATTTTTAAAGCTTATACCTTATTTTTTTGGTCTTTAATGTTGAAGACAAGACTTCTGTATTTCATGCGGTACTTGTGCCCCGTATCATTAAACATGTAGTACAGCTCCTCCTCAATGGTGAGTGCCAAACTTTTGATTTCACTGCTTGACATCATGATATCGTCAGCCTCTTGTGCTCTGTGACATTGATGTTAAAAGATGATTTTCTTTAAGGTTTAGCATCAATATAGAGTTTTTAAATCAAAGACTTAAGGCAAATACTGGCACTAAGTAAGTAATAAGGAAAACATCTAGATAAAAAACTAACTACTGTGAAAAAGATGTTTCAAAAGGATATGAATTACTAAAAAGGAAATGGAATTTTAGTATTATATAACAGTTCTATTCAAGGCTCTGTTTTGCCTACAAACACTGTAATGCACTACTTGTATGCTGTGCTTTGGTTTTAAATTTGAATAAGAAAACAGATAATCAAACACGTACCTAGTACTAAGACAGTCCCGTAAAGCCGTTCTGACATTGATTCTGATCTGGTTGGGCCCATCTTCACCTCTCTTCTCATCAGATTTAGAAGAGCTCTGGGAGGCTGAACTGCTCCTGCGATCACTATCAATTTTTTTCACAGAGTCCCTGGACTCATGCCGTGACTTGTGGTTGGACTTCTCGTCCCTGTGTGACTTCTTATCTCTGTCAGTTGAAGACTTCCGGTCCCGATCAGATCTGCTGTCCCGCTCAGATCTGCTGTCCCGCTCCGATTTGCTGTCCCGCTCTGATTTGCTGTCTCGCTCAGACCTGCTGTTTCGGTCTTTGTGTTTCTCATCCCCTTCAAGCAAGCAATATTTTTATTTGTACTACAAACTGAGGCATTCTCTTTTTAAGTGCTGCAGTGAAGTCACAAACAGACACATAAACACAAAATCTAACAACAATATTTCCCATAAAAAGTGAAGATAAATTTTGTATCTAGTAAATAGACTCAAACAATCAAATTATTAAGGAAATATAAATTCCTCAAGAAAATGTATACAATTCTTAACAATACTATGAAAAGCACTATAAACTTTGGACTCACTAATTGAGGAACTTCTGTGCTTGCGTGGTTGAACAACTTCAAATGTGGGGTGCTGCTCAAGCCATCTGTGCAAACTTTTCTGTGTAGGAGCGTTGGAGCCCTTGTAGACCTTGCCTGTCTCCCTCTCCACCACCTCCACTGTATCAGAGGATGAATACGGTTTGCTGGAGGAGCTTTTGCTTGCATCACTGGATGACTTTTGCTTTTCCTTCATCTGCAACAGTGTAAGATAAGACATGGTGTTTTTATTCATTCAAAATAAAATATTTTGCAAGTCTATTACTAAACTCTCTTCTATTTATATCTTGAAAACCAATACACATTGGATTTTAAAAACCTACTAAATGTCACTGACTTTTATTAAGAATAAAATTAAATCAGATTTGCAAAATGTATTAATTCCAACTGTTTTCAAAGACATAATAGAATATATTTCATATATACTGTAAACAAAGTTAAAGAATTTTTTATAATTTTAAAAATTTTGTTCTGTAAAGCACAAAGTAGACAATAAGCACATAAAAAGTGCTTGAAGATTACCTTAAGCCTCATTTGTTCCTCGCGAATAGCTTTCAGAGATTCCTGTGCATGGCTCATGATGCACTCATTACTGCAGTAGATGGAGCCAGTGCGTGGAGTTTTCAAACACTTGCGACCAATGCACTTCTGCTGCAAGCTGCTCTTTGTGGTTGATGGCTGAATGACACATACATAAGTTAACACACCTAACATGTTCAGCTCATAACTAAAATTTGGCTAATGACATCTATATACAAGTTTAAAAAAATTATTCTAATTAACTACAAATTTTAACCATATTATTTAATTGTCAGCAAATATTCAACAGCCTACAAAGACTTTCCCATTTTTTTTAGGCTGTAGATTGATCAATAAAGCTACAGCATCACAATGGAAATTACAAATTTAATTCTGAAGGTGTGTAAGTATAAATAAAAACAATATATGATCACTGTGACACTTCCCTCTGCATGTATATTATCATGTAGACAAAACTTACTGATTCAGCATTTTTAGATTCTTTAGTTACTCCTGCCTTCTCAATCTTTGATCCACCTTCACCCTCTGGAATCACAACAAAAGACATTTCAAAATTGTATTCATTGGGTTGACAATCAAGAAATTTTTCTAAGTCAGACATCTATAAAAGGCTGGGACAGCAGACACTTACTTGTACAGAGAGGGCAGATGTACTCCTCCTCTTTCTCCTCCATTTCCTTGCCTCTTGCCCTGGTGACCCCCACACAAGTGCCGTGGTACCACTCCTCACACTTGTCACAGCAGATCATGAACCTGCACGCAGGTACAAAACCAAGGCTACACAAACTATGTCAAATCTTTCTGTCTTGTTCATACTTTTAGTTGAAAATGGCAGAGGCAAATAAATTTTTAATTTTTTTTTACAAATATCTTATTATAAACAAATATCAAATAAGGATTTTTCTATGCCTCTGACATTTTTAAAAGATTTAGCATGAAACATTTCAGACAGTTTGCAATTCCTTTTTTAAATTTTTTATAATTTTTCTTTAGTAATAAAGAATTCTATTTAAATGGCCAGCATAACAGAACTGAAGAGAAGTTACAAAACATTCCTGCAAATCTGTCTTTACTGGGTTGTACCTGTTATTGTGGGGTTTTTTACAGATGCAGTACAAAGTGTCAGGGTCATTGGGTTCCCAGTCCTGGTCATTCTCATCATCCTCAAACCCATGGTCCTCTTCATCGCTGTCATCATCCTCTTCAGCAGTTTCCTTTGAACTTCCCTCTAAAAACATTGACAAGGTAAAATAGTTATGTACTATGACATCACCAAGCTATAAGAATTGACTGTCACAGTGAATAGAACCATGTATTTTGTTGAATTTAAACTGCTGCATTTGTTTTTTACTTGATAATTTTAACCATTTAGTATCTATATAGATTGGTTTAACATGTTTCTATAGCATGAGCCATGTAGATCTACCGCTGGTAGAGACAAAAAAAGTCTTACTTATTTAGTTTAAATCCATGTACTTTTAACAGTAGTTATTTATGCATACTTATAGGGTTTTGTGGTGAGGGTAACATACATATTTCTGGTGTTGTAACAAATTCTATGCCAAGAAGAAAGTTCTAAACCAACCTGCATTGGACTTTTTCTTTGTTTTCACTTTTGTACTGCCTTTATCACCACTAGACTTCTTAGTATCTGTGCTGGAAGACCTCTTCACCTCTGACTTTTTAGACTCTGAGCTTGATGACTTTTTAGACTCCGTTGTTAATGACTTTTTCACATCTGAACTTGATGACTTTTTAGAGTCAGTGCTAGATTTCCTGACCTCTGAACCTTTCTCACTCTCCTTCTTCTTGACAGGTGTATCTTCCTTTTGAGAGGACTTTGACGCAGGTGTGAGGGAACTAGAAGGCTTGCTGCTAGTCTGTTTGGCCTCGTCAGTTGAAACAGCAGGCAACCTCCCAACCTCAACCTGCCCAACTATCACAAACTCTGTCCCACTTTCCCGCAGCTCTGAGTCCAAGCTCTCTAAAATTGACAGTCTATTGCCTGCATCTCGTTTAGCTAACATACTCTGAATCTCTTCTGCATTCTCAGGCCAGGTGTCTTGTAAGTCATCCACAGCTTCATGCACAATCTGCTCCTCAGACTCCTGCAGTATCTGGTCAGGCAGGTTCACGTCCATAATGACGCCTTGTTTGTGAGAGACACTTTCAATGTCATCATCTCTGCCATTGTCACCAGCAGCGTTCATTCCTTTGTCATCTGGTCGAACACTAGTTGGGGATGTAGGCTTAGAGTACTGGTGCTCTATCAAAACGTGGTGGATGTTCTCAGGCTTGAGGAAGGAATCGCTGGAACAAGAGTCTTGAGAGTACTGAGATTTCTGAGCAGTTGTAGTGTCCTGAGCTGCTGACTTGGCATCTGTGGGCGACTCCTCCTTTTTATGCTGGTCATGTACGATGAGCCCGTCTGGCTTGAACAGGTCCATCATGGTCATGTCCACTGGGACCTCATGCTCTGGCTTGTGATGCTTCGGCTTAGCTTTGGCCATGGAGGCAGCAGATAGCAATGGAGGTGGACCGTCAGGGTCAGCTGGCTTCTCTTCATCTAAACTTTTTCTTGACTTCTGTCCCGACGAGCTGCTGTTTTTTTTCATTGCCTCGCTTGATTTCCTCCTCTCTTGTTTACCTGCCTCGCCTGAGAAACTTCTCTCCCGCACCAGCTTTGACCCATCTGTCGACTTCCTTCTGTCAACCTCGACCTTTTTCTTCTCTCCTTTTTCCATGGCCTGCTGCTTTTTTTTCATGACTTCAGATTTGTCTGGAGAATCTTTAACCCCTTCAGATTTAACCTCTTTATTAATCTGTTTAGGAATAACTTTTTTATTCCCAAAAGGCTGATGGCTTTTCTTCTTGTGTATGATCCCTCGTTTTAACAAATCATCAACACCAGAGCCTTGCTCAGACTTGTTCGTTTTTTTCATGCCCTCCAAACCTTTCTTAATCATGACTGTTTTTTTAACAATAGTCCCATCAGGTTTAGTCTTGATCAGCTCTATTTTCTTATATCCTTTATCTCCAGGCTTTACGATGATCTTTCTGGATGGGTCTTTAGACTTATCAACAGCCACACCTCCCTTCTGCCCAGGTGTGAGTTTCTTGGACACTTCAGATTTGGCTTTCAGCTCACCCTTAGCTACACCAGACTTCAGTAGCTTGACCTTCCCGTCTTCTGTTTTCATCAGCTTACCCTTCTCATTTTCTGTGCCAGTTTTAACAACGGAAGAACCAGAAACTTTTTTCACCACCTTCGCTGGTGAAGACTTAACCAATGAGGTGGTTTTAGCCTCGCCTTTAATTTCTTTTTTCACCAGCTTTGGTTTCTCATTAGGACTAACTGTCTTTTTGATGACTTTAACGGCATCTGTTTTAGCACTGGCCATTTTAATGTCTTTAACTTTGTTACTGTCCTCAGTTTTAACCTTAGAAACATTCTTTCCATTATCCTCAGCTTTAATGTTTGTATTATCAGCGCCAAGATTAGCTTCAACACTTCCTGTTTTGACCATTTTATCAGCCGTCTCTTCGTCTTCTGTTTTGACATCATTAGAACTATCACCCTCTGATTTAACAGTTTTGTCCAGTGGAGCTGCATGATCTTCAGCAACAGTCTTGGGCTGTGCTGTCTTTGCTGCTATCTCAGATGGGGTGCGTTTCACCAAGCCCAATTCTATTGGTGGAAACCTCTTCACCAGCCCAGCTAGGACTGGGGCCAGTTTTTCTATCTGAATAGATTTTGATGTCTGCAGATAACAGAATTGATTAAAACATTACAGTTTGAAGGTATAGGAATGAAGAGAACATAAAAGCAGATAATTTAACTTTTAGAGAATTAAATCACAGATGAATAGACAAAATACATCAAAACAAGAAATGATTGAGGCCTGGGTATGTACTCTGAGTGACATTGTTGGCACATTTGAGAAATAATAAATATTTTATTAAGTGTTATAGCAAAAGGAAAGTAGAGTAAGATAATATACTTCTAATGCACATTCATTTATTTAGGTAACAACAATGCACACAATGCTCTGAAATTTAAGGAAGATTATTATCTACTATTATGTTTAAGCTAATGTATCATGAAAAAATATAAGAAAATGTTTTTTTTAATTATTAAAATACAGTACCATAGTAAATAAAAAATCTAACCTGCAGTTTTTTTAATGGTACATCATCATCAAGACTCTCAGCATTTTCTTCCAGCTTTCTTTTTTGCCCCACAATCGGGGACTTGTCTGAGCCAGTATCAGAGCCGGCAGCGGCAAGTTTATTTGCCAGGTTCTGAGCTAAAGGAGATTGTGAGCTACTCTCAGATTCCTCAGCTGGCTTCTGTTTCTGTATCTGAGCTTTCAGCTGGGATATTGGTGTTGAGTCCTCATCATCTGAACTAATCTCCACAGCTTCTTCCAGGTCAGCTTCCTCAGCTTTGGCTATTTTAGGTTTAGGACCAGGTTTTTTTCTCTTGGGTCCTTTTAAAACACTAAGTGATGAATCATCTTCTTCTTCATCACTGGCTTCTTGCTTACTGGCATTTTTCTTGGGCCCTTTCTGTAATTTTGCTTTGGCAGATTGCTTTGTGGCACTGGCTTTGGGTCTACCCCTTGGTCTTTTCACAACCACTTCCTCTATTTCATCTTCCGATTCATCATCTTCATTATTTGTTCCTTTCTTTCTCACCGCAACTTTTCGTTTCATTGGTTTTTTGGTCTCTTCTTCTTCTTCAACATCCTCTTCATCAAATTCCTCTTCATCCTTTTCATTTTTTCCTGCCTTCCCTTTCTGAGATGATGGTGTGGGTCTAGGTAATAATTAAAATAAGGAAAAACTTGTAAAATTGATCCACATTAAACAAGCATACCAATTTTTAAAACAAGTTTAATATAAAACTTGCTTCCATTAGCTGGAATTTGGAACAATTACAAAAATCAACCAGTTGTTAACATGTTTAGTTAAATATTAACTTTTAATTTAATCAACAATGTAAGCTATATTTAAGATAAGATATTTTAAAATTACGATCTGTGACAATTTAATTTTGAATGTAACATTTTAAGAGAAATTTTTTGTAAATGTAATTTTAATATAAAATACTTACTTCTTTTCTTCTTCCTTGGGTTGATTTTTCCTACCAATTGGGGTATAATACTCAAAGTCGCTGCTAAAAGTGCTCTGCTTCTTTCTTGAGGATCGTCTAGATGGTGTCGAGTCTAGGGTGGATGTGGCGTTGTCTTTTAAGACACTGGGTGTCGCAAAGTTTACACTGTCTTCAGCATCCTCCTCTGCTACTGGTTCATCTGTTTCTTGGTCAGCCATTTGTAGCTTTTTTGTCTTGAAAGTTTACAAGTTCATCTACTGTGATGAAGTTGATTCATATTTTTATTTGAAAATTAAATGTCACAGAAAGTTTAATACGTCATCTCTTGATTTGTATAATATGTGCATCTTGTTGCTGTGATACAATAATTTTGTATTTAAATCCTCAGGTAATAGCTTGTATATCCAATTTCACCTGAAAAGCAACATAAAAATTCAATATTAGAGTACTGCCATAATCTAACAAAATGATGTATTATTCTTGATAACTTACACAAATAACATTGGTTTATTTTTTATAGTTATATCTCTTACAATTCTTGTTTGAACATTTCTACAGTTTTCTGCATCATTATTCTTTGATTATTCTATAAGCCTGCTCTATTTTTATAGGTTTACTTTAGATTTTATGAAAAGCTGTTTATAACATTACAGCTTGGTGGTAGGTTGTTTTTTTTTTAAATCATGACTGGATTAGGCTAGCATGGCACAGGTAGCAGCTACACAATGCAGTACCCAAAGCAGGCAAATTTTGTCAACCCTAAATTTTTATAAGATCAGTGAAAATTTTCTACCTCCCACCACATACACAGTTTTTATATCTAGGGAAGCATGTCTCACAACTATGATCAACACACTGTTAAGTATAATGGCTGTTTTGAATAACTTGAGCCACCCCCCCCCCCCTCCCTCCCCCCAATCCCTTTCTTTATATTCATAACTAATGGTAAAAAAACAGTAAATAAAAAACTTAAAATCAGTCTCATGAGACTTTTGTTGCTTTTCTGAAGTTTAAAATGGTTGGAATTATTCTTGATATTTTTCTTTATGAGTAACCCATACTGTCTTCTCTAACTATACCAGTGCTTATGTCATCAACAGTCATATTATAATTAAAGTAAGTGACAAATTTAACATTCAGCTTTTTTCTGTCCTGACTCTCTATTTAAGAGGAAGTTGCTAGATAATTAGGGTGCAGTGCAAGATTTAAATAATCTTCTGATATTCCGAGTGGTAAATATCTGTCTTTTCTTGCATCAATGGCACTGTGAACCACAACTTCCACATAAGGATAGAGGTGAGCTTGTATCAGCAAAGCCAGCCTGAATCAACAGCCACACAACTTTTATAACATTAAAAAAAAACCGTCCATTCACTCTTTACAGATGCAACTGCATAGCTAACATTTTGTTCAAATTTGAGCAAGTTTATTTGTGTATGTATTTTTTAACATGTTTTGACCATTTATATTAAATTGTTTAAAATTCTTGTTATTTATTACTGAAAATTCACACCCCCCCCCCCCCCCATCATCAAATAATGTCTATAAACGAATGACCAATTATTAAATGATGTCATAACATCTCCTATCACCTTATTCTAACTTATAAAAAAGGATGTTTTTTAAACCCTTATAAAGCCCTCATTACTCCTGCACCTCTTCTATCCTCAGCAAGGAACATCACTTACTCACTAACCCTTACCAGCTAGTGCTTAAAATGTTAGCTATACAACCCCTGTCAAGGTTCCACCCATGTATTCAACTTGAGTTTTAAAACTTGAACACATTTTATAGATTTGTAATGTCTTTATTAATATAACCATTTTATACATTTAAAATGCACAAATATGAACAAGCTGTTTATAAAGCAAATGTTTTATTTCTAAAGCAATGTTTTAAAATAAATAGATTAAATCAAAGAATTGCAGTGATGTAAACCCCTTGAGCACTCTTAATTTATGTGTATTTAATTTTAACAGCCTCTTTTTTTGGGAGGTAGGTAAAATTGAGTCCATCTTTAAGTTATTTTGTGATGAGTAAAGTTAACTTTCCTATTAATGGGAGCTTTTTGATTGAATTTTTATTTTCAATAAGGGAAGGATAAACTTTAAAATATAAAAATGCTCTTTATCTGATGACGCTGTGGATTTGAAGGTTAAGGATAAGAGGTTGAGAATCAATTGTCGTCTTAATTAAAGTAAATTTTGTAGTTTTATCTTTTAAAAAAAAATCCCTTATAATTCCATTCTAATTTCTACTTTGTGTTATTAGGTCTTTGGCACTTTTAAATTATTTTTTGGCATTTACAAGACTATCTTTAAGTGTTGTCTATACTTCTAGTCTAATACACAAAATAAATATTGGTGACAATCTAGTTACTACATTTATTTTGACAGTCATAAGTGCTACGGGTCAATTGTAGGTTAGATAAAAATAGGCTAGAATAATCTAGAACTTAGGGGAGAGGGCGTGTGTGAGTTGAATTTACCCTAGAGTATAGTTAACCCAGGTGTGTTTATTTATTGTTATCCCAAGGTCAAATGCGGTATAAAAGCTGAAGTGAATGATTGTAAGGGGGTTAGTTGGTAGCAGTTAGAGCAAGGGCTACTGTGTAATGTCAAGAGTTGAGACCAAATAAAGTACTGTGTGAGTTGAATTTACCCTAGAGTATAGTTAACCCAGGTGTGTTTATTTATTGTTATCCCAAGGTCAAATGCAGTATAAAAGCTGAAGTGAATGATTGTAAGGGGGTTAGTTGGTAGCAGTTAGAGCAAGGGCTACTGTGTAATGTCAAGAGTTGAGACCAAATAAAGTACTGAAGATTGTCACGAATTATTTTCTGCATTGAACTAAACCTGGACGTAACAATAAGAAACATTTAGACTGAGATTAAATGAGTAACCTCAGATTTTTTTATAGCAGCAAAAAATAAAGTAACACTGATACATACTGGTTTTATAAAAATAATCTAAATTGTGCATTTAAAACAATCAATTAATTGTCAGCACTACCAGAATGCAATGCAGGTATTTCATAAAAGATTATTTAACCATTACAATAAGTGGGCTTGTTTTGTAACCTAAAAATAACCTCAATTGAATGTGTAAGTAAAAAAACAAAGATATTACAAAATTTCACACATACATTATACATTCATAACATACATAGGCAGATAAAACTAAAAGAAGAAGATAATTATAGCCTACTAAAATTGTATTCAATAAAATAGATCTATTACACAATGAATGAAATGCTTGCAGCATGGGTTGAAAATAAAACAACAGCGACAACATGAATTAAATTAGTGAAGGTATTTCTATGACACTAAAAGATGTTTCAAATCATTTTTTTTTTCAACTAAATACAACCTTTATAAATCAAGTTTCTGCATTTTTTAAAATTGAATTTATTTTCAAGAGAGCCTACAATGACATCATGTTGTTACAGTAACAAGCAAACTTACAATTTTTAATAGGAATGCATTCTCATAAAAATTTTAAATAACATTTACAACTAGGCCAATTACCAACCGACATGGAAAAGACAGTTAATTTATTTTAAATTCAAATAGTATTTCTAGTACTAAGTAGTAGATGCATCTCCTATTGATTAAGAATTCAGACAATGGTTGTTTTTTTTTAAGTCAGCCTACCTGATTAAACTGACCACCAATTTCTTAACAAAACCTCCCAATATTTTAATTAATTTTAATTTTATCATTAGGTCTATGTTGAATTAAGCGTACATAAAAAGTCTAAATGATGTGATACACTGAGAATCTGACAAAAAATATGTTTTTAGTAGGCCTTCTTTACTTTTTACCACTTTTTTGCGAGCTTTAAGTGTTCAGAATAGTTGCGAACCTATCTAGTTGAAAATAGGATAGGCCTAGATTACAATCACACTGTGGTGAATGCAAAATAATATTTGGGCCTACAGAACATTAAAATTAAAGTAACATTATTAACTGTTAAGTTCAACTCAGGTCTCAAGTCTCAGTCAGTAGCCTCTAATCAATGATGGGCACACCTTTCATAAAGCCATACCTCAGTCCATCCATTCCTACAACTGAACTTTATTAGTAGAATGTCTTACAAAATTTGTAAATTATTTCTTAGTAGCCTATAATTTATTAGGCCCTAATTTAGTTCACCAAACACAGAATTAAAGGCCCAAACTGATTTACGGCCTGAAATTATTGGCATTAAAAATAATTGATAACTCATTTCTCATGGCTGTCACAAATTGAGAAAAGTGACGGCAAAAGCAGCATGCTGGACAAGACTAGACTATATAGCCTATGGAAGCTTCATATTTATTATAGTTTCATGTGTTCGCTTTATTACAATGTTTTTTTTGCATTTTAAACATGTATTTTGAATTGATTAGTTTTTAAAGCTGTATCATTGTTTAGCCTATTTGGCATTATTAAATAATGCAAAGAACTAGGCTAATTGTATTTAATTTGATTCTTTATGAAGATTTATATAACGAAGTAAAAATGTGTAACTGTAAAATAGCTAAAATAAATTTCTAACAATGTAACTCATAATAGCGGATTTATTTTCAGAATATGCTGAATAAGTTTTGAAAAAAAAAAATGCTTAGACTTCTCAGAAAACTACTTTTGAATATATTTGTGAGAAATGGGAGTTCGATTAGAGTTTAGAGAAGGCTATTTAAGTTTTTATTACTGCAACAGTGCAACTGCCAAGTAATGAGGTAGTGTTGATCAAGAATGCTCCCAGGAAAACCCATAATTCTTAATTCAAACCAAAGAATTGCAGAATAGCAGATTTTTCTGGCAAAGACCTGAAAAGCATCCATTTCTTTAAAGTCTTGCACTATATTCTAGTTACCGTAATAATTATTAATTATAATTTGCAGAATTCAGTGAGACTTGGAGTTATGTTATTTGTCCAATTGAGGATTCCCCTTTACGGACAAAGTGAAACTAAAACAGAAGTTCTCATTGTTGTTGCTTAATTTTGATTGTTGCAGCATCTAGTCTAGCGGAGCGTCTTGAGTCTTGAGACATTCCATTATTAGAAAAAGCAAATGAATAAACTCAACAAACTGTTTTGCCTATTTCCTAAAGTTAAAAGTAACCCATAACCTAATCTTACTAACTAACTAATCTTGATTATTTGATTTTTACATCTAGATTCTAGAATTCTAGTACTAGATCTAGTACTGAAGTCTGAAGTAGATCTGGAATCTAGATCTAGAAATCTAGAATAGATCTAGAATCTAGATCTAGTACTACGGTACAGTCAGTAAATCAAGTCTAGTTAGTAGAGTTACTAGATAGATCTAGAAATTCTAGATCAAGACATCTAGTTAGTTGAGTTACCTAGATCTAGATTTCTAGTGTAGTACTCAGTCAGTAGTGTAGGCAGTAGGCCTAGCCTACAGATTTTTTTTTTAAATGGACACTAAAAATTTGGTTTAATTTTGTTCGTTAGGTTGTCTTAAATAGGCACTTTAAGCAGCAGAAAATAAATACAAAAGAGGCTAAACTCAATAATGCAGGCTATAGGTCGGAAATATTTAATATGGCATGGATTTCTTACTCGTTGGACGACCGATTTGTCGCGGATACACAGCAAACTTTTTTTTTAATTCACATTTTTTGATGCAACGATACTGCCGCCATGTTTGTTGTTTAACATCACGTGATCAAAATAATGATTCACACGACATAAAAACGGAACAATATTAAGGACACAGGCCATGTGCGCAAAGACTGTAAGACAACATAGATCTAGATCTATGCCTAGGGCCTACCTGTAAAATGGAATCGGTTCGCTAGAACAAAGCGAAAAAGTTTGTTTTCAAGATTCACATCTACAAAGAAAGCCACACAAAAAAAAAAACAGAAATGTCAAATTAAATTGTAATAAAAGGGACAGCTTTTGAAATATGAACCAAAAGCAACAAACATAATGTTAAACTAACTTAACAACAGTTTCTTCCAGGCAGTGTTTCTTCGAGACTTTTTCTCCGGGGGGGGGGGGGGGGGAGGGGGGCACTTGATATTTTCGGTGGGGGGTGGTGGTGTGGCGGACACTAGTAAAAGTATATGTTTACGATATAAATTCCATCTAGTTCGGGGGGGGGGGGGCGGTAGACTATCTTCAAAGAAGAATTTTCGTAGGATCTGTCGAGGACAACAGTTTATGAAAGACTGTTACACGCTTTGTTTCAGTCTTGGACGCCATGTTTCTAACCCATACAACAAGACTGCTCTTGGACTCTTCATTAATCTGATCCATATAACATGACTGTCTTCACATTTGAGTTTAATAACTCAAGGCAGTAGATCTCCATACAGGTCCCTGAATGGTAAAAGTGTAGTCGGTTTTATAATCTGTGCCTCCAGATTGGGCGATCTTGCTCTCAAGGTAAACAAGTCTCCAGTAGCGTAGCGAGGGGGGGGGGGTACATATGTCCCCCGGGCCGCCGACCTTAGGGGGGGCGCCAAATTGAAAGTTTGAGGGGGGGTGCAAATGAAAAGTTCAAGGGGGGTGCAAATCGAAAGTTTGAGGGGGGGGGGGGGTGGTGCAAAATGAAAAGTTCGAGGGAGGGGGTGCAAATCGAAAATTTGCTCCCAAGAGGGCGCCAAATTGAAAGTATGTCCCCGGGCGCCGGGAAGGGTCGCTACGCCTCTGCACGTCTCCACATGTCTCTTCCTTTAAAAATTAATTAAATACTGGAGCCT